CTTCAACCAGAAAATCTCAATTGCCTCCCTGCTCTTTCTTCTTTAACTGATTTGGACCTAAGCGGAAACTTCAATGGGAGCCAAATTCCAGATTTCATTGGTTCTCTAACCAATCTAAGAAACCTCAGTCTTAGTTCCTGTAATTTCATTGGTCCAATTCCAAGTTCATTTGAAAACCTCACGCAATTGCAAAATCTCGACCTCAGCTATAATCAGCTTCAACCAGAAAATCTCAATTGCCTCCCTGCTCTTTCTTCTTTAACGGATTTGTACCTAAGCGGAAACTTCAATGGGAGCCAAATTCCAGATTTCATTGGTTCTCTAACCAATCTAAGAAACCTCGGTCTCTATGATTGTAATTTGGTTGGTCCAATTCCAAGTTCGTTTGGAAACCTCACGCAATTGCAAAATCTCGACCTCAGCTATAATCAACTTCAACCAGAAAATCTCAATTGCCTCCCTGCTCTTTCTTCTTTAACGGATTTGGACCTAAGCGAAAGCTTCGATGGGGGCCAAATTCCCGATTTCATTGGTTCTGTAACCAATCTAAGGTACCTCAGTCTCTATTACTGTAATTTGGTCGGTCAAATTCCTAGTTCGTTTGGAAACCTCACACAATTGCAACATCTTGACCTCAGCGATAATCAGCTTCAACCAGAAAATCTCAATTGGCTCCCTTCTCTTTCTTCTTTAACGGATTTGGACCTAAGCGGAAACAATCTTAGTACTGTTTTTGATTGGCCAGAAGCAGTACTTAATAAGCTCCCTAAACTAGTAGACTTGACCTTGGTGAACTGTAGTCTTCCTCCTCCTCCTACTCCAATTCTTTCCACTACTCTTTACAAAACAAATTCTTCTACATCTCTTGCGTATGTTTCTGTCTCACACAACCATCTCACTTCTTCAATATTTCTTTGGTTGTCCAACTACAGTACAAGCCTTGTTCGTCTTTACCTCTCCAATAATAATCTATCTGGTTTCATTCCCGATTTCATTGGAAACATGAGCTCTCTTGTGTATCTGGATCTCTCCAACAATTATCTAACTGGTTTCATTGCTGATTTCACTGGAAACATGAGCTCTCTTGCGCATCTGGATCTCTCCAACAATTATCTAACTGGTTTCATTGACGATTTCACTGGAAACATGAGCTCTCTTGCGGATCTGGATCTCTCCAACAATAGTCTAACTGGTTTCATTCCCAATTTCATTGGGAACATGAGCTCTCTTGAGTATCTGGGTCTCTCTGATAACCAGATTGAAGGAGCGAATCCAAATTCGTTTGCACGGCTGTGTAATTTGCAAACATTGTCACTTCAAAGAAATCATCTGAGTGGACAATTATCCAAGTTTGTTCAACTATTGCCTAGGTGTGCTCAAAACTCATTAGGGGATCTGGACCTCTCTGAGAATGTTCTTGCGGGGTCATTAAACAATCTTACAAGCTTCTTATCTTTGGGATTCTTGAATCTTAAAGCCAATCAATTAAGCGGAAAAATACCTGAAAGTATTGGGCAAATGTCGCAACTACATAGTATCGATTTCAGTGTCAATCAATTAAGAGGAGAAATACCTGAAAGTATTGGACAAATGTCGCAACTACAGAACATCAATTTCAGCATGAACTTGTTGGAAGGGGTGGTTTCAGAAACTCATTTCTCAAAACTCTCCAAATTACGTTATTTGGATTTATCCTCTAACTTACTAATCTTAAATTTCCATTCTGATTGGGTTCCTCCCTTCTTCCAGTTGGGTTACATAAATTTGGCGTCCGGCATGGTTGGTCCTCTTTTCCCAAAATGGCTTCAAACTCAAAATTATTCTTACCAGCTTGATATTTCGAACGCGGGAATTTCCGATATCCTTCCAAGTTGGTTTTGGAGTAATGCAGAAATTATTAATCTCTCACAGAACCAAATAAGAGGAATAGAAGGTCCAATTCCCTCAACTCCGTCACGAGTCTATCATCTGGATCTCTCTAATAATAACATTTCAGGGTCGCTTTCTTTCCTATGCGCAAGTGCAGATATGAGTTTAACATATCTTAATCTTTCAAGCAACAGTTTTGCTGGAGAACTTCCAGATTGCTGGAGCCATTTGGAGACACTAGTCATGCTTGATTTGAGTAACAACGCTTTTTCTGGAAAAATTCCCACGACAATAGGCTCTTTATTTCAAATGCAAACTTTGAAATTAAGAAGCAACCGATTTGTTGGAGAATTGCCTTCATCGTTGAAGAACTGCGCAAGTTTAGAAGTTATTGATCTGGGAGATAATAAATTATCAGGACCAATACCTACATGGTTAGGTGTGAGCTTCAAGAATTTGGTTATCCTGATGCTTTCCACTAATCACTTCAATGGAAGCATGCCCTCGCAATTATGCCATCTAACACACATTAAAATTATGGATTTCTCTATGAACATCATCTCTGGAAGCATACCCAAATGCCTCAACAATTTGACTACTCTGGCTCAAAAAGGAAATCCAAGTCTATCCAGCACACATTTTTATGGCGGAAGTATGGGTAATGAGTCAATTGCTCCTACTAATTATGACGATGATGCAAGCTTCATATGGAAAGGAAGAATGCAGACATACAAAAGCACTTTGGGCCTTGTGAAGAGAATTGATCTCTCAAGCAATAGATTAACAGGGGAGATTCCAAGTGAAATCACTCATCTTGTTGGGTTGATTTCTTTAAACCTTTCAAGAAACCAATTAACGGGTCAAATAACTCCAGAGATCGGAAACTTGGAGTCATTGGATTCACTTGATTTATCAAGAAACCAGATAGATGGAAGAATTCCGACAAGCCTTGCTCGGATATATCGTCTTAGTTTCTTGGACCTGTCATATAACAACTTGTCTGGCAAAATACCAACAGGCACTCAGCTCCAAAGCTTTGATCCCCTTGATTATGCTGAAAATCCTTTACTCTGTGGACCTCCACTTAAAAAAATGTGTGCTGATGAAAATGGGTCAAGTGACTTGAGCAATGAAGAGGATAAGGATGAGTTTATAACACTGGGATTTTACATCAGTATGGGGATTGGGTTCGCTGCTGGATTTTGGGGCATTTGCGGCACTTTGATATTCAACAGGTCATGGAGATACGCATACTTCAAGTTCTTGAATGATTTAAATGACTGGCTTTATGTGAGGATAGCTTTGATCAAGCGGCAACTAAAGTTAGCATATGCTTAATAGATAAGCTCGTGACGGTACTCTTTCTCGCTCATCATTAATTTCGTTTTATAATTATTTTCTTATTGCATTTTTTCTTTTCTCCAAATTGACGAGTATTAATTTGTTTACTTTGATATTTAGCTGTATCATCTAAATTAGGAGAAAAGTAGCTGTAGCTGAATGCCTCCTTTCAGTTCAAGTGTTGAAGATTGCTAGTATGCGCATGCACAGGTATCTGGAGAAGAGTTTACGAGTCAATTTGGAGTGCTTAATAGGAATAAATATGAGTTAAATAAGTGTTAATTACTTGTAAGAACAATTAATTCGGAGTTCTCCGATTAATGTTTTTTTTGTTTTTGTTTGTTGAGAGAAATAAACAGATCCATTTTAATCCAAGCTCACTCCGATTAATGTATTAGTTCCAGCTATAGTGTTATTTTAATTAACTAAGCCAAAGCCAAAGCGGACTTGATTTCAAATTACAATGTGTGGCTCTGTTTTGGTCATCTATTTGCAACGTACAGCTTCTCCTTGTAAATGTGTGGCTC